TTGACATAACTGAGAAAAGCTGGAGAGTGTGTCAGCCAAAATGTTAAGTTATGGGAAATGAAGAGGAAAAAAACTCAACAAACACCAAAAGACTAGTTGAAGAAATTGTTAACTTCATAATACGATTATCTTAGGACAAGTATCAAATTCTCTATTAAATCATTAATAGACCATATTTATATTGTCTTTAACATCAAGATATTTTCTTTAAAAATTTCTAAAGCCATTAGTGGAGGAACTCCTACACAAGGTAATGAAGGAAAAAAAAATGTCAATTGCAAGAAGATGGAATGCATGGTTGTTTGCAAAAGGAACAGCGGCCAACATGCAAATTAGAAATTGGAGATACCACAATCAAATAAGTACAAAAATTTAAATATCTAGGAAATGTTTTCACAGATTCATTTGTTTTTATGGTTTATCATCCTTTTGCAGGTTGTTGACAGCCAAACACATATTTTTAGATTGTAAGAGTCTTTTTGGAGATAATAATGATTTAGTGATACATGTTCTGCTAATTAACCCATAAACGGGGAGGAAAAGAGGTGAATTCATAGCATTCCTGAGGGGATTTGTACATAAATGAATATAACAAATCCAACTGGAATTGGAACTCCATTACACCACCCGCACGTCCAAGCTTACAGCACCTGGTATTCCCAAGCAGTAACCCATCTAGGTACTGACCAGGTTCAATGTTGCTCAACTTCAGTGATCATACAAGAATTAGTTTCAATGTGATATGGCTGTAAGCCTGTTTTAACAGAGGACGGAAAGTGCAACAAAATCTGAAGGTGCACTGGAATAGCGAAAAATACCTAAGCAAAGTATTAAGAAACGGGAAAATTTCATTACATACAAAGAAAAGCGTACTGAACTGTTATGTAATATTGCTTCTTCTATATGACAGTGAATGCTGGACAATCTTGAGGTAACAAATGTGGTTCTACAGAAGGATGCTGAGAATACCATAGGCTGAACATGTGAGCAACAACAAAGTTTTAGAGATAATGGAAACAAAAAGGACACTTATAGTTAACATCAAAAAGAGAGATTTAAAATTTCCATGGTACATAATGAGGAAAGAGGGATTGGAAAATTTGACACTCACAGGACATAACCCCTGCCTAATAAATTTGTGTAAATGGATGATGGAACTGGCAAAGAACTTAGCAAAATAACAAAATTTACTAAGAGCTACAATGGACAGGAAATTGTGGTGAGTCATGATCACTCATATCCTGAAAGGACACAGCACATAGAATTTTTAATTCCTGAAAGTCAGTAGGAAGACTTCTTTAAAGATTAGTGTAACACAAAGGTGAAAAATGTTTGTCTTGAAAATCACTATTCAAAATTGTGGTTGTTAGAAAATAGAAGACAACTAATTCTTTTCTAATGCCAGCCCAGCTGCCAGTTCTTTTATCAATAAAGACAATTGGATAAGACCAGGAATTTAATGGACAAACAAGTTATGCAAGACTGAAATCATTTTATCCTAAGCAAGGCAATAAAGCTACTAAGATGCAAGGGGGTTATTGAATGGGGGAGAAAATGAGAAAAACAAACAAAAACACTTAAGAAGAGAGAACAAGAACAAATCTGTTTTTGCAGCATGCTAATGACAAAACCAAAGCAAATGAGACAGAGCTAGGTTCATGCCTTTCTTAAGTGGGTAAGTAGGAATTTGACAAAGAGTTTTGGCTGGAATTTAAATTTAGTTTGCATTTTATTTTTCAACATAAAAGTGTATTTTAGACCAAATTTTACATGACATACAATTAGTCATAAATTTTTTTTTTTTTTACCTCAACATCATTTCACATTGTGTCTTCATTTTCAGCTCAATTTTTACTGTTAACCTTTTAGAATTAAGACTGCAATTAAAGTTAAATTAAAATTTTTGACCAAGAATAATCACATCTTAGAATGGTTACCACAATCGTTGACATAATCATAAATTTTTCCTTTAAGCTTCAACATTTTTCATGATTATTGCTTTGATATCTTAATATCAAAAAGTCTTACCAGATCAAGACTTTCATAGGAATGCCATGCATGGCACCAAAGACATTCAGAAATATCTAGAGTCTGCTATAATCGACCACTTTCTCAGATCAATTATTAAAAAGGTCTTTAAGCATGTTGGTCATAGGGAGGACCATCTTTCTTCAAACCTCATGGATTGGCTCAACAAAGAACTGTACCAAATAACAGGAAACCACATCACTTGAAAACTTGCAACAGCAACTAAAATGGGAAGCACATATAACTTGAGAAAATAAGGACGTAATCAAGATGTTGACATTTCACACTACTTCAAACAAAAAGTTAGGAAGGACCCCCCCACCATCAGTACCGGAAAGAGCAATAACAGAGGACTTGAGAAATCTATTTTTCTAAAAAATTGTTTTAAGATTTTACAAATTTCAACCAAAAGTAGCACTGGCTGTTTAGTCAATGAATGTCAAATGTTTCCTTCTAAGGAAACGGCTAATATTACCATCACCAGATTATCATTGGTAACAGAAATAATTAGTGCATGAAAAAATCTGGCCAAGGTTAATTGTCCTCCAACATTACGATTGGGTGGGAAAAGAAATCTTGCCAATTTTCTGAGATTACGATTTGATTAAAAAGGGAATCAAATCACAATCAATCAATGAGGAATAAAGAAAAGAAAAAGTGTTCAGCACAGAAAATTAAGATTCAGTGAATTAACATTTTCTGCTACAATCTTTTGCTTGCCTTACAAACTTCTAATTTCTCTTCTGCATTGGAATGATTTTAGCACTTTTAGAATTCTAATTTAAATTATTAAAATTTCACATCTCAGCCTCTATATATATATATATATATATATATATATATATATATATATATTGTGTATGTATGTAAAAAAGAGAATATGAAAAACTATTCATTATTAATGTATTTCATCCTCTGACAGACTTTATAAACAGCAAGTATTGTTAGGTTTTGCCTTGATAAGTAAATGCTGATAAACAAAAATCTTACATTTGCCTTCATAAAGTCCATCAGAGGACAAAACAAGTCTGGAAATAAGTTTTTATTTTTTCTTTTTATTATATATATATATATATATATATATATATATATATATACACACATACACACAGGGTATCCCTAAAGTCTGAACGTAGCAAATCCCATTAACTATATTTTTTTTTTTTTTTTTTACCTCCATGGATTAAACATGGTTTTGCCTTCTCAGGTATGATGAAGGTGTACTCAATGAAAATCACGAAAACAACACACTTTATTGGATGCATAAAGAGTGAATGTGCTAAAATTGATGGCAATGTGGAGTTATTGCATAGAGTTCATATGAATCTTGCAAAGCACATCAACCTTTGCATCACAAATGATGGAAATAAAATTCTTTATTAATATTCCAATTCAATAAAATGCTGTTGAAAATTTCATTTCTTGAAAATATGCATTTTTGCTTATGTATCCAGAATTTAAGGTTACCTGTGTGTGTGTGTGTGTGTGTATATATATATATATATATATATATATATATATATATTATAAATTAATTGATTTAAAATATGGTTTTTTTCGCTACACAGCCCCAACCATGTTTCAAAAATAGAAGCTAAAAACCCCGAATTTAATTTTGCAATTAAATTAAAAGCATTAGTTCCATTTCATCTTCAAGCGAATTTTGGAGTCATTGAGCACTATTTTGTAAAAATAAAAATATCTATAAGAACACTGGATTTTATATCTTACTGTTCTTTCTTTTTATTTATATACATATATATAAATATATCTTAATAATATCAAATCTTATTGCTAACTTTTCTTATTTAGAATTTTAAGAAAAGGAGGGAGGGAGGGAGGGTTTTCCTTTCTTTGTTTTTTAAAGTAGCGAAAAAAAAATAAATAAAAATGCTTAATCACATATTTATTTTGTTTGACTAGATTCATTCATGCAGAAACATATTTCCAATTCCACGATTTTACATTAAAAAAAAAAGTAATAATAAAAAACTGGCAACCAATGAGAAACAAGATATCTGGTGCACTTGACCAATCGCAAGTGACATTGCTGATTTCCTTAAATTAAAAAAGGAAGTAAACAAATTAAATAAGCCAATCACAAGTAGTGCAGCCAATTCAAATAGTGGCAATCTGGTGAGGCTGTTTGTGTCAGAGAAGAAATATATAAATAGTTTTAAATAAATAATATTTAAATAGATCATCAAGAGCCTCAGCTTTCTCGCCATTCAGTGTCCAAAACTGCCCACAGAATGTTGCCAGAAAAAAAACAACAAAAAAAAAAAAACGGAATAAGTATATTTTGGTGATTATTTTTGTTGTTGACCAATTACAATCTCTCGCCATCATCGGTAAATAAATAATCTGAAAGATCTAGTTCATCAAAATAAAAAAAATGTTTAACCTTTTTTTTTTTTTTTTTGTAAAAAGCTGCAAGTCAAAAGACATTGGCACACAAAATATTCTCACATACATGATGTGAAAGTTCCTAGGCTATAGCACCTGATGATGATTGGAGAACAGAAAGGATTTTGGTCCAGATAAAAATCAAATACCACAAAAGCTTGATTGTATAAATATCAAACCATACTAGCCACCATTAGTTCATTATATGTTTCAAGAGCATAAATTAGGGGGGGGGGGTCTGTTTAGCTAAACTGACCAACCACTGACTTTATGTACATCAAATATACACACAACAAAGATGAGGATTTAAGTCCCAAACAAATTCATGAAAAAAAAAGGGGGGGGGGGAATGAAGCACAACTTTTGTGAATTGTTGAGACGTTAGACAAAATTTGATGAATTTTCTTCCCAAGTCAGTTAAGAGTTGAAGCAAGCAAATGTTGTGCAGTGATGGTGGCTTTTATTTTTTGTTGAATTCCGAAGATAATTGGTCAATAAAGCGTGAAAGCTTTGGTGCCACTGGTTCTGCCATTTGGCAAGAGAAAAGGAAAAACCAAGAAACAGGTTTATTTTGGTTCAAAAGGAACTTGAAGTTCAATGTTGCTTTCCATATTTCCAATTAAAGTATCTTTCATTTCCACGTCTTCTCCTCGAGCTTTTTGCCTCATTTCTTCACGGTCAGCCCTAAAAAAAAAAAGAGAAAAAGACAAGACTTTAGATAATTTATTTTCTTCACCTGCAGTTTGGGAGGGGGGATAATAATGAAAAGCATGGAAATCATTGTTCTAAGAGGATTATAAAGGGGGGGAAAAAAAAAATTAGAGGATGATGAAAAAGAAACAGCAGGGGAAACAAAAGAAACAGAAAAGCTGCTTGTTTTATGTGCTGTGTCTCTTAAGGATGTAGGTGATCATGGCACTCCACGTCTTTCTGTCCCTCGTAGATCTTAATAAATTTTATCTTTTTGTTATTTCTCCCAAACCATTTACTCAAGATCATCAAATATGTCACGCACTGCTTTTCCTCAATCCGTCCTGTGAGTATCAGGTTTTCCAAGTCCTCCTTCCTCATTACAGAAATTTCAACTGCCTTTTCCTGATGTTAAGTATAAATGTCCTTTTTGTTTCTATTCTCTCTGAAACCTTACCGTTGCTCACATGTTTGGTCTATGGTATCCTCAGCATCTTTCTGTAGCACCCCATTTCTGTTGCTTCAAGTCTCTTCTTCATCTTTTCAGCATTCACTGCCATACAGGAGGACAGATATCATGTAACAGTTCAGTACTGTTCTATGTTTCTAACGAAATTTTTCTGTCTCTTAATACTCTGCTTAGCTTTTGGAATGCATCTTTACTAAACAATATAGTGTCTTTTCTGTTAGAGAAATTGGAGAAAGATTTGAGTATGTCAGTTATGAATGGACCTGTCAACCATGTGACAAAAAGAACAAAAGTTTTACAGCTATTCATTAATCAAAGCAGATATTACATGAAAATTCCACACTTCATCTGAGTGACATACAAGGTAGCATTAGAATAATGAATGAATAAGGTAGAAAAAGTACCAAGGGATGTGAACAGTAGTACATGAATTTTTAATCACTGGATACAAGCATTATAGACATTATTGACAACAGGCAGAACTGTCAATGTTTTGACATGCCAGGTAACAACACCAAGCACACCTGTTGGAAAAATACAACCATCGATACAAGACCGGGTCTGAAATGCAAACTTTTATAGTAGTTTTAGTGCACATTGGCATGGCACAAAACTGAAAGCAAGGGTAATATTTAAACGAAAAATAATGTTAAAGATAATTTCCAAAGTGGCATATTTGTTAATGTTTATCCACAAGGATGGATGAAGAAGACATTAACTCATGTTTGGTTGAATGAAAAGAAATTGTTACATGTATGGGACAAGTTCGGTTTACATTTCATTCAATCTGTAAAGATGAAATTACAGGAATTCAAAACAGGTAACAAACCCTAGAGGTTGTAGGTTACTTCTACAGCCATTAGATGCTTAAGTAGATATACCATTTGAAATACCATCCATGCAGTGCATAAATTGAGAACTAAGAAGTGGATTTGGTATGTTCCCACCTAGATATTGTCAAACAAATGTTGAAAGAGACTTGGTGACAAGACAATTTTAAAAAATGTGTGACATTTCCAATGCAGTGGCTGGAGCAAAAGATGAAATGCTTCTCATGAAGTACTTCTCAGATAAGAGAGTGAACAAGTCTTAACCTGATCAACAGTTTGACTAATAAATCAGAAATTTATGTGGAATTTGAGCTGATGAAAGTGATATCAAATTATGTATACACTCAAGAGTGCCAACAGAATTTTTAGGTAGTTAAGAAAGAATTGTGTAGATATTATAAATATATTTTTATAAGGTCTATTAAAACCAATTCATTTCATTCATTATATATATATATATACACACACACACACACACAATGAGGGGGGCACTCTGGGCCAACACTGACTTAGTTTCTCATGTTACTACTACTCCTATAAGTGTCCAACATCTAAATGACCACTAACAGACATTTCTCCAGACTGCTGCATATATTCGCCTTATTAACAAACTTTTTTGCTATGACAAATACCAAAGGACTCACTCATGACTCTAAAGAAAATAAATAAAAATATATTATTTATTTTAAACCCTTGAGTCAATTCCTCTATCCACATTGGCAACATTCTGATATGAACACACACACTTGCTACAAATCCTCTTCCGAGAAATTCAAACAGAAAAAAAATATCTAATGACTTACTTTTTGCCCACTGTCATTATTCCGTAGAGTACTCCACAAACAAAGACAAGGCCACAACCAAAAACTGTGCTGAGGGAGAAACACATCAATATAGGAACCACTGAAGTCCTGCAAATACAAAGATACATCATTGATAAGGCATTGATTCTGGTACAATGACATCTACAGTAGTCAAACTGGTCATCTTTATTCTTTGGGATTGACAAAATTAAGGAATAACATTTACTGTAAGCAAAATTCTCTTTTGCATTATTGTGGATACAACATTTTGGCACACTAACATTTATCCGGGTCAAATAAAGCCAAATATTTATGGCAAGCATTCAATAGCATGTGGGTGCAAGTGATCATAAAAAAAACAATACTTGGTTATAAAGATCTTCCATATAGATATGACCCCCTTTTTTATTATTATTAATAGCCCTGTTTTTAAGTTTAACCTGAAGTTATTTAAATTTATGAGCCATGTTTGTCCCCACATGAAAAGATTAAAAAAGAAAATTTGTAAATGTAACATTTAACAACTGTTTGAAAGTGATATGGAAGCTAAAAATGATGAGATCCAAATAACAAAGATCAAGATACTAGTTCAAATAATTGGAAGAATGGAAAATAATTAATCTCAGAACTTTAGATCACAATTAAGCAAAGATTTTATTTTTAATTTTTATACAAGAAGGGTGTATAGGGGGACACATTTCTAATGAAAGATGATGCACCCAGATTTGGGGAAGCAGTTTAGGCAAAGAGGACACACCCAGGGTCAAGTGGGAGGGGAAAGCAGTTTAGGCAAAGAGGACACACCCAGGGTCAAGTGGGAGGGGAAAGCAGTTTAGGCAAAGAGGACACACCCAGGGTCAAGTGGGAGGGGAAAGCAGTTTAGGCAAAGAGGACACACCCAGGGTCAAGTGGGAGGGAAAGCAGTTTAGGCAAAGAGGACACACCCAGGGTCAAGTGGGAGGGGAAAGCAGTTTAGGCAAAGAGGACACACCCAGGGTCAAGTGGGAGGGGAAAGCAGTTTAGGCAAAGAGGACACACCCAGGGGTCAAGTGGGAGGGAAAGCAGTTTAGGCAAAGAGGACACACCCAGGGTCAAGTGGGAGGGGAAAGCAGTTTAGGCAAAAGAGGACACACCCAGGGTCAAGTGGGAGGGAAAGCAGTTTAGGCAAAGAGGACACACCCAGGGTCAAGTGGGAGGGGAAAGCAGTTTAGGCAAAGAGGACACACCCAGGGTCAAGTGGGAGGGGAAAGCAGTTTAGGCAAAGAGGACACACCCAGGGTCAAGTGGGAGGGGAAAGCAGTTTAGGCAAAGAGGACACACCCAGGGTCAAGTGGGAGGGGAAAGCAGTTTAGGCAAAGAGGACACACCCAGGGTCAAGTGGGAGGGGAAAGCAGTTTAGGCGAGGATAATGTCCTGGGTATGAAGGTGGTATAACAGGATTTGCAGACTGTCTGCATCAGCCTAAAATAGCTTTTATGACAAGATCAAAAGATTCCTGCTTTTGCTATCAATATTAAATTCCATGTCAGGTGCATGATATTTTAGTTGTTTTTTAATTCTTTAAATGTCTATGAATTTGAATAGCCAAAAGCAATTTGCACCTTATTTGCTATAATAAAATAGTTCAGTTGTGTGAGAGTTAGATTGATGATCTAAAAGGAGGTGCATTCAAATTGAGATTTTAGCACAGACATTGAATAGGATGTCATGTGTCTGAATTTGATTCCGTTTTTCTGGAAGAATCATTATTGCTCTCACTTCATATAAATTCAAAGTAGCTAGATTGAATTTATCACAGAGACATGAGGGTCATTATAAAGTTTTAAAAAATTAATTTCCAGATAAACACAGACAGAAATTGGTTGCCCTAAAATAATTAATATATAAATATTCATAATTTCAAATTGATTTTTTTCAACTATAAAAAGCAATCAATAAAAAGCAAATTCTTTTTCAAGAAAACATAAATTGAAATGCGGCTTTTCAACATTATTTGTGTCTGCTACTCTCAAATAAAAATTGAAATTGTTGTAATGGAATGTCCCACTTTCCCTATTGCGGACTGACTATATATATATATATATATATATATATATATATATATAGTGTTCACAGGATATACCTGGTGGACATGCTTTGGGAATTACTAGCTTGTTAACTGATTCCCTGTCTTTCAGTAGTGTATTCTCTTTTACAATAAACCTCTCTTTCATCAACGCCTGTTTTGCTGTTCCTTTCACTAGAGTACCATCTTTGTCTGTTTGTAATCTTCTTTAAGGATACAACAGAAATATACCTCAAAATGTGATACTAGGGCCACTCACCAAGAAAAGGAGGATGTGGTTTCATCTCAATTTTAAGTATTTCTGTTTTCTAACAAGTGAGTCAAGTGAGTAATTCCTTTTTAAGTCTGGTCTTCTAAGTGGCATCAACTTTGACCAAAAGGGGAACAGCAAAGTGAATGGTTTTTTTTTCTTTCTTTTTTTTGGAGACCAAGCAACAACAAACCAGTCATTGATTATTTCTGGGTGCTAATCTATATTAATAGTCATGTTTGGGATCAGAAAGTCAGTTTTGATCTGCCCTTGGCAGGAGATGGACTTGTCTGTCATGGGATTCTGATACCACCTATTCGTATTGCCAGTCACATGTCAAGATGTGCAGATGGACGAGGAGTTGGTAGTGGGGTTTGAAGAGCTGATCTATAAGATCAACACAGTTGTCCAAAGTGTCATTTACTACCCATCCAGTTAAAGCCTTGAATAAAACATCTACATATGATATGGGAAACAGGGTTCACACTATTATTTATCAATGTAGCATTTGTCTTTCATCTTGTTACCTTGTGAGCATGAAGCAGGCCCTTTTCCAGCTTCTGGTGCACACTGATGAGATCAAGAATCAAAATGCAATGTGGAGTAATCATTAGCCAGTTGGGGGACAGCTATGGTGAGGTTCATCATGGACATTTACAACAACAACAAAAAAAAATGAATACTTTGTTTTTATTCACATCAATATTCTTCAGTTCTCTCATAAATGGAATTAACTTTGCCAATTTAAAAGGTAGTGAGGAGAGGGAATATTTTAATTCCTTCAAGTCATAGGCAATCATGGCTTTCCACATATTCCTTTTTATTTATTATCTGTGAATTGTCATGACTTCTTGGGAAAGATAGAAGAGTGATTTCCCATTGCCTTCTTTATAGTTTCTAAATTGGTTAGTGTCTAGTCTGCTCTGCAGCTCAATCCATTGCTGAGGTAAGAAGAGATAGATTCATGCCTTTTCCAAGGCTATAAGTGCAAAAGTGAACAGAAACTAGGCTGGAATTTGAACTCAATTTGCCAATACCATTTTCTGTGCTGATGTGAGGAAAGAATTAAAAAAAATGCTGGGGGCACATGCAAAAATATCAGGCAGATTATTAAAATAACAAACAGGTTTATTAACCTACTTGTCAATTCCTTCATTGAGTATGCCATAAATTTAAGTAAAACTTGGATTAGTTCAACAAATATCTTGTCAGAGCAGTGTTTGCCAAATGGTCCAGTGCACTTCATATGAAAGAAAAGGATGGCAGATGAGGTGGAATGATTGAAATCTAATCAAAGATTTAAAAACTGTTTAAAAAAAAATCCATATGCCAAAAATAAATATGATTTCAAACCTAAAATATTATTATGGACTACTTGTAATTGCATGCATGAGTCCCAGTATAAATAGTTATAAATAATTATTGACTGATTTTATCACTGTGGTATTTTTGTATTATACCAAGTATTAAAGACTATAGCAACTATGGTCTGCAAATTGGAGAGAGACTTATCAATGATAATGTTCTAACTTTGAATCCGTAGTTATCTCCCTTTAACACTATTTCTGTTTTTTATTTTTAAATGTACTTTTTATCACATAAAATTTGGTGAGGTGTGAGCAGATTTTAATGTGGCCAGTAAAAAAAAAATTGGGAAACACTGTGTTAGAGTAACCAGAAATAGATTCAATCTTTGTTTTATTAAACAAAAAATACAAAATGATCACATTTTCTTTCTTACAAATAATCACAAAATCATTTTATCTTCCCAAATTTTTCAGATGTATCCACTGGACATTTTGAAATTCATAGCTAAAGTAATTTTTAAAGATAAAAATAATGGTTTTGCAAAGGCTTTTCTGAATGATTTTCTTCTTAAATATTAATTATGTTAAACGGCTTAAACATTGCTGTACAGCAGGCACCCAAGCAGAGCAAGAAGACAGCAATGGAGACAGGATGAAAAAAGAGAAGTTAAGAACAGCTTCAAGACTTACAATGTGTAGAAAACTGCTTTCTGCCAATGAGGCCTGGCATCAGAAAATTTGCCAATTTCATTGATGAAATCCAAAAAAGGACAACAACACGGACCTTCAAAAATGACAGCCATAAAACCAACACATCTGGAAAAAAATGTTCAGAAATATGTCAGATTGAGTTCAGAATGTTATATTCAGATTCTTACAAAGGATTTTAGAAAAAAAATTTATTGGTCGGTCCCAAAGAAATTGTTGAAGGTAATGGGTGACAGGGAGCCATGAACAACAAAATGATACCATAACGATTAAACTATCAGAGATTTGTCTTTTTTTAATTAAATTTCACCCAATACACGACCCAAGAGCCACTCAATGTAGAGGATTACTGAATGAGATGTGTGATATAAGAGGAGGAAGTAGGAAATGAAAATTACATGAATATGTTGGAGGATTCAATTTTGATTTGAATTTATGACGTCTTTATTTTTTGGCTTAAAACATTTATTGTTAAAAAAAAAAAAAACAAACAAAAATAGAAAGAGAAAAAAAACAAACAAAAATAGAAAGAGAAAAAAAACAAACAAAAATAGAAAGAGAAAAAAAACAAACAAAAATAGAAAGAGAAAAAAAACAAACAAAAATAGAAAGAGAAAAAACACAAAGAAATTAATTTTACAACTCCCTTCTAAATATCAAAGTAATATTCATTCACAACATTTGGGTTTTGCGGAAGGGAGTGACATAAAATGCGTTCCAACTTTAGTTATAGTTAAACACTCACTTTGTGGTTTAAAATTTGTCAAGCAAAATTATATTTTTTTCTGAAAAATAAAAACTTAATGCTAAAAATTAGGACTTAACATAAAAATATGCTTTTGTTTTAATCTTAAAAGATAGAGAACATGCAAACACTGAAAACGGTTACTTCTTTTTTGAAAATTCAATTTCAAAACTAAAAAATATTTATTTTAGCATTTAAAGAAATATTTTTTTTTAAATTAAAGTTTAAAAAAAAAAAAAAAATCCCACAGTTGATTCTTAGAAAACATAGATTGATAAATATTAATTTTATCTTTACAGAATTCCAAATTAATTTCTTTGACAGTGGTGGAATCTCAGGACTCACATTTTACACGAGGAAATTTCTATAATTTACTTTGGAGATATTGCAGATTTGACTCCAGATCAAAGCAACAAAATGAGTCACAGTTCACATAAAAAGTTCTGATTACATAATATTATAATCCACTAAGTGTACAATAACATTAAGTCTAGAGGAGAAACGTATAGGATTTTAAAAATACTTTATTCCTACTACGGAGACATGAAATGCAACACAAGCCTTTATTTTGTAAAAAAAAAAAAATTTTTAAATTAGAAAATTAGAATGTCTGGAAAGTAAATGAAAAAAAAAAAGATATGCCTAAATGTTAATCCCCAAAACTAATGTTTGGGGCTTTTGTATCGGTTGCTAGAAAATTCTATATTCAACATGACTATAAGTTTGGCAATATTTGCCCAGGAAAGGTTTTACTTACATTTGTAAAATTCCACCTACTAAGCAAGTAGTACTGAAAGAAAGACAGGTAAAAACTCCGGCTACCATGGCACCTGAAAAGGAAGAAAAAAATATTTAGAGAAACACAGCCATGGTAGCATACACATCTCAAAAGCTATTGACTCAGTTGAGTTCTAACTGGTTGGTGCCAAGTCAAACTTAGCTATCAGGCAATGTGCATAAAATTTAGAATGTTAAGTTAATGTTTTTACATGATATGACAATCCAAGAAAACAAACAGCTGGGAAATAAAGATTAAAACAAGCTAAAAAAGAAAATCAAAGAAAGAAAAAAAAAAATTTTTTTTTTTTTTATAAATTAAACATAAATTTTTTTTTTTTTTTTTTTTTTTACATTAAAGATAAATTAAGAAATTTTTGAAAATTAAAAATTTTTTTTTTTTTAAATTGAGAGTTATGGCCACCAAATTTTCAATTATATATTTTAATATATTAATTTTTGGAAATATCAAAACTTTTTAAGGGATTCAACTTACATTGCAAGTATATTGCTAGACTAAACCCTTGTGTACATCAGGTTAAATAAATTGAATCTTTGTTTTATAGTTTAACTGTATAAAATATGATCCAAGTATTTTTAATGGCTATGATTTTCAAATCAGGAATGATTCCATAATAGGTGATTCAAATCCATGATCTTGCTAAAAGAGCAATTTGGGTCTACCCACAGGAATTAGATTAAAATTCAAGAAAGAAAACAAATAGTTGCTATTTTGATGATGCTTGTTACTAAACTTTTATTCAGAATAGTTTTCCCTTTTGTGTTTACAATTGCTTTATAAAAGTTTTTTTTTGTTTTTGTTTTTAAAGGAAGGAAAAGATTGGCAACAAAGTGAAATCTGAGCCAAGTTCAAATCCAGTTGAAGTTTTTTTTAATATTACTTTTTTTTTATCGGACAGACAGTAATCCTTTAGTTCTATCTCGAGTCATAATATTGACAAGAGAGCGAAGTAATTGTTTTTTTTTTTTGTCAATTCTTTATTCTTTATGCAAAAGTAATGATTGGCTGCTATACTTACTGCTAGTTCTGACATTTTTCAAAGGAAAAAAAAAACAAAGTAATTATTGGATATAATAGAAAATCAAGTAATCGAGATCAATTCTTGAAGAATGACTATAAAAACGCTTACAGTAATTTCATCTTGTCAGTTTGGTTTTAGTCAAATACTCTGCAGTACAGATTATGCTAAACACAAGAAAGACAGACAGAAAGAAGAAGAAAAGAGAAAGAAAGAAAAAAGAGAAAGAAAGAAAAAAGAAAAAGAAAGAAAAAGAGAAAGAAAGAAAAAAGAGAAAGAAAGAAAAAAAGAGAAAGAAAGAAAAAAAAAAAAAAGAGAGAAAGAAAGAAAAAAAGAGAAAGAAAAAAAAAAGAAAGAAAAAAAGAGAAAGAAAAGAAAAAGAAAGAAAGAAAGAAAAAAGAGAAAGAGAGAAAGAAAAAAAAGAGAGAAGAAAAAAAGAGAGAAAGAAAAAAAAGAGAGAAAGAAAAAAAAAAAAAGAGAGAGAAAGAAAGAAAAAAAAAAGAGAAAGAAAAAAAGTGTAGTGGAAGTGAAAGGCAGGATGAACTGCTCCCAGAACAGCTGCAGCAAGGTGCATGAATGCTTCGCTTGAAAGTTGTGTTTGTGTGTGTGTGGGGGGGGACGCAACATGCTGAAATGGAAACAAGGAAATGAGTTTTCCAAGTATGCCACACATTCTCACTTGATGTAGTATGTTTTCACTGTGGTTAAATAGCTCAGTGTGGTGGCAACATTCATTAAGAGGAGAGCAGCGGCATTTACAAAGGATTAGGATGACGAGATGGATGATGTTCCTTTAACTACAATGATATAAAGGTCATCACAAGAGTGCACCATGAAGACCTTGTGGGAGGTGAGTGGTGTGTTAATGGTCCCGAGCTCAATGTTTGGGTTGAAGCAAGCTCCCTGGCTACTGGAGTCTCACTGGAGCACAATGGAGCTGCTGTAGATGATGTAAGCTGGTTGCAAAAAGAGAAAGATGTGCAGCACATGAACTTGGCAGAACTGTGCCGAAAGGGGTTAACATATTATTGATGTGGGAAGCAACAATTTCTTGTTTGCACGAATGGATTACAGACACCCTTACTGGAAAGGCCAGGGTGCATACCAAAGCTGCAAGTGAAATGCTAATTAGATGATAAGATTGTTGGTAGACATAACCTTAGTGAGGTCAGAACATAACCAAGCAGATGGTCTGACAAAAGCACCACAGTGATGGCTTGATTTGATCAGGAAGACAGCTGAACACCAAAACCATGTGTGTGCTGTATCAACGAGCAAGTCTGACTCGCCACCCACACGTGAAAGGCAAATTAGACATCAGTGACACTTGGTATCAAATGGGAATGGGCATAACCCACTATCAGAGCAGACACTACCTGTAGCTCATTGACTAAGGGCCTACATGGTTTTCTGTCTAGTGTCACCTGAGACGGTAAGATGTGGCAAGTATCATCGACCACTTGGGAGCCTTACAAGCATTGCCCACCGACTGAAATGCTTGCTGACTATGATACAGCATTTTGCAGCAAGCCCTTCAGAGACTTCCCAAATGGAGAGTTTGACTGACCATCCCTTCTAGTAATGGCATCAAAGAATAGTGTCATCAGCGTGTAAAACTGATTGCAGCAAGAAAAATGTGTTCTGTAATGGAAGTAGTTTATTGGTACAATTTCACCCCAAAGGACAATGTATCGCTGCTGACTGCTCCCACCAACATAACAGCAGCACATTGGGAGACCATGTCTGAATAAAGATCCCAGATAGGTGATGCCATGTCCCCTTATGCACTTGGAGGCATTACAGGGGTGATTAGCCCACAGAACATCCTCGTTGACAGGATGCCTTGTCACGTAAGGAATCTGTGTCCCATTATATGTTTAAGTGCTTTGGAGAGTGGGAGTGACGGTGAATTTTCCACCCAGAGTGCAAGTATGATCACCATCAGCGATTCCCCTGGGGCAAGCAGTCCCAGGCCTGATACAGATGCATCAAATGACACTTCTGCAGATAAATTGTCTGGGGAGGATGTCGCAGTCGTATTACCACAAAGGACCATAAGGCACAAGAGGCTGGTCCCGGGCTGCCACATATGTGATCATGAGATCAGAGCTGGGAGAGAGTATAGCAGAAGTGAAAAGCAGGATGAACTGCTGGCTGCCCATTCCCATCAATCAAAAAGATAACGCTTAGTGTGGTGTGTATAGGTGGCATGAATCAGAGAACGTCAGCTTGCAAAAAATATGGTCGCCGCAGTGGGCTGAGTAGTGCCTAGAATTTATTTATGCAAATGATTTGTGTCTTGCATAGTAAAATTACTGATGTTTCTGGGCTCAATATAAACAAATGGATTTCTGTTTCCTCAATCAGTGAGTCGCCATTACTGCTATCGTACAGAATGTTGTGATTCTGATATCCTTTTTTTTGTTCGTCCTTGTTTTCTGTGTCCCTATTATGTTAGACCCTTTGTGAAATTCTTTGTCTCGTCTCCTTTATTTTGTTTGTCTCCAGTGCTGCTCTTCATTCTGTCCCTCTTTGTTTGTGCTCCATCAGCAGAAAACAACTTAGAAAAAAGACGAGAAAGAGGAGAAGAAAAGAAAAACTTATGTTTATCAAAAAATATGAAACATGGTTATAATTGAACCAACTAGAACAATTACTTTCCTCTGGGGACAAGTGCAAAATTAATAAACAAGGCGGCCTTAATATGCTCATGTCGGATGTGATGGGTGTAAAAATTTTCATACAAAAAAGTTGGGTGGGGTGAATGTCCCCCCCCCCCCATAAAGCATCTAAGAGTAATCCTAAACAGACACACATGCAAAATGTACAGAAAATACTGTTTGTTTCAAAGTACAAGATATTTCAGAAATAATACAATGCCAAAAATTCAAAGTATTCATCTATTCAAATATGCAAAACAAAAGAACTCATTGAAATTGGTGGACTATTCCTAAACTAAGAGGTTTTGCTTATTAAACAATGCAAAAAATTACACTGTAAAAAATATTTTCTTTTTTTTTTTTTTTTTTTTTTGAATTTCTGGGATGATGATTATTTACATTCAAACTAATATCCTCATCATTTTGGTTGTCCTCATTATTTCAACTGACCTCAGATGTCTCAATCTGTATAACTTTCAAGCAGCTTCAAACTTTTTTTTTTTTTTTAAGCATTATGCCCCGAGCAAGGCGTGAAGCCACTAGGATGCAGGGGGTTGCAGAAGATTTGAAGCGAGAGCAGATAGGAGTGATAGAAGAAAGGATGAGGAGAGGGATAGTGGATAGATCAAGGTAACTGGAGATGTCGATTGACATTACATTTGAATAGTTGGAGATTATAGCTCTCAGGGAAACAGTAATAGGGAAGGGTGTTCCACAGGTGAGAGGTGCGAGGTATGAAGCTATTGGAGTAGAAAGAGACGGCTACATTTAAAAGTTTCTACAGTGAAAGGGTGAGAGCAGGATGCCAGCCTCGAGGGCGCTTGAATTCATGGAGTCTGGGAACCAGTGAAAGCAGCTCATCGGACAATTGGCATGAAAGTACTTAAAAAAGACAGAGAGAGACGTGACGTTGTCTGTGAGAGAGTGACTGTAGACAGGATGCCAGATCAGGGCCAATCATATTACATATCCGTCTCTGAATCTTGTCAAGAACTCCGAGGTAAACAGAAGGTGCACCAGACCATATATGGCAGCAATACTCCATGCAAGTGCGAATGGTTGATTTGTATATTTGAAGTATTGATTCCGGGGAGAAAAATTTCCTGGTGCGGCACAAAGGGCCAACTTTCCTCACGGTGGACGAAGCAATTGACTCAATGTATTTGTTCCATCTCAGGTCAGCAGTCAATGTGAGACCGAGCAGACGCAGAGAGTTGCTCTCAAGAAGTTGACTATCAGACATTGTAATGGGGGGCAGGGAAGGATCTCTATGGTAATTAATAGAGAGTAGCTTAGTTTTTGAAGCGTTAAAGTTGACCAGCCAATTCTTTCCCCTAATTAACAACCGATTGGAGGTCCATTTCAAGATGAGCGGCCAGGTTAGTTTTGTCAGCGACACTAGATTTATTTTTGAAACAAGAGTAAATTGTAGTGTTGTCCACGTAGATGCCAACTTGGAAATCTATGGCATCAGGAAGGTCATTGATGAAAATAAGGAATAGAGTGGGGTCAAGGATGGAGCTTTGGGGAACACCTGCGTTCGTGGGATAGGAACTGGAGGAGAATCCGTTGAGAACGACCTTCAATTCTCGGTTTGACAGGAATGATTGTATTAGGTCAAACAATCGACCTGTAATACCATAACCCTGGAGCTTGCAAAGAAGGGCGGCATGCCAAACCCTATCAAACGCTTTGGAGATATCTAGGGCCACGGCACGAGCCTCACCGTAATTTTGAAGGGCTTGGTAGACAGTTTCAGTGATGGCCGTAAGCACATCAGCTGTAGACAGGGCATAACGGAAACCATATTGCTTGTATGAGAGCAGGTCGTGTGAGGTAAGGTGGTTAACCACTTCAGTGTTGATTAGAGCTTTGAAGACTTTGCCGAAGAGGGGTAAGAGACTAATAGGACGGTAATTAGAGGGGTCAGAGGGGTCTCCAGAGTTCTTAAAGACAGAAACAATGGATGAGAACTTCCAGCAGTCAGGAAAACAGGATTCCTTGAGGCAGTAATTATATAGTTTAGAGAGGACGGGTGCTAGCTCAGGCGTGCATTTCTTCAAGACAATGGTTGGTATCCCATCACCACCACTAACCTTGTGGGGGTCTAAATTAGAGATAATGCCTAATACCAATGATGAGGTTATATGTAACCCGCTCAATAGGGCCTCAGTTCTTAGACAGAAGTCTGGTATGGGTACACCAGAGGAGTCGAGTGTTGAATTAAATGAGAATTTCCGAGCAAAGCATTCAGCCTTGTCGGTAGAGGAGGTCAGGACCTCGAACTGGTTGAGCAAAGGAGGTATGGAGGGTTTTCTATTGTTCGGGACACACTTGCAGAGCCACCAATAATCTTTGGAGCCAAATTTGCAAGATGCAATACGCTCCTTCATCCGAGCAGCAAATATTGACTTAGCTTCATTGAGGACATGCTTACACTCGTTACGGGCGGAGGCAAAGAGACGTCTATTGCAGTCCGACATGTCGCTACGAAATAGGTGAAAGAAGTGGTTCCTATGGGCAAGCAGCAGAGAACCAAGGGGAGGAGTGTGATTTGAACTTAAATTTCCTTGAGGAGATGAAAGCGTCGATTCCAGCTTTAACCTAGGATGAGACCTCAGAAGCACATTCTTGGACAGGTAGTGTAAAGACAACATCCCAGGAGACATCGCGGAGAAAGTCACAGAACAAGTCCCAATCCACTCGTTGATAGTAGAACAAGGTTCTAGTGATAGGAGGTTCTTTGCAGGATGTGGAGTTGAAGGAAATGTTAACAGATACTACAGCATGATCAGAGTTACCAAGAGGGCAGAGCTGCGTGACACTACAAGATTCGGGGATGAAGGTAAAACACAGATCGAGAAGGGAGGCCTTACCTTCCAGGTTGAGGGCAAAACACGTGGGGAAGTTAACTATCTGCGTGAGGGATTGAGAAATTAAGTGTTTGAATGCCTGCCCGGTCAGTAGTAGCATTCTCGAGCCACTTGGTATGATGGGCGTTAAAGTCACCAAACACGAATATGTGAGCAAACGGGTGGGGAGAGAGGGCCTTGTCTATGCTGTCAGATATGCTATCGAGTATCTCACAATCTTGAGAGGATGGAGAGTGATAGAGGAAAAATAGATAGCTTACGGCATTGAGGAGAGATAGTTGGAGACACATGTACGAATGGTCTGGCAATTCGAGAGACAACTCTCTGGCCAGAGGGAGATGGTCCTTGACATAGACACCAAGGCCATGCATATAGGTTAGAGAGTCTTTCCTGAGGAGAGGAAGGTAGCTGGGGATCGAGAGATCAGAGGAGAGAATAGACGAGACAAGGTTGGTCTCACACAGAGCCAGTATATCCGGGCAGTTTGCAGTGAGGAAAGATTCCATACTGCAGAAATTTGTTCTAATGCCACGGATGTTGGAGAACAAAATGTTGAGGGGTTTAAGTGATTTTTGGGGGGCTGGTTTAGGTTATAAAACATGTTCTTTCTTATATAGTAGGATTTAGGATTAATTCCACTTGTGTGTCAAAGAACTTCTTCTAACAGCCACTAGATGGCATTGCTAAAAGAAGTATACACGTTAATGGATGCCTTGGAAACAAGATAGGTCATGTTGTCTCCTGAGGGATTTTTCAGTGAATTTAATATTGCACTGAATATAATTACTCGCTGGAATATTTTCCCAATGGACAAAAGTTGATAGGTTTTTGTACCTCATACTTCTGTCCTTAATCTAATTTGTTGAGTTTCTGGGACAATCTTTGCAAAGAATGCTACAATCCTAAATAAGAATTAAGTGAAAATGGCAAAACCTACAGAAAAGTAGCACCACAAAGTTATCAAGAGAGAAAAAGCTACATTATCTTTTGGTCACTTTATTGAAATTATTAAATCAAATTTTTGGGAAAAAGCCTAATTCGTAAAACTTGGCTTTCTAAAATGACAAATTGCTCCCACCTCTGTCACCATATGTGATAGGAAAAAGAAAGAAGAAAACCAGAAGACAACATTTTTGGCACCCCTTCCCCCCTACTACCATCAACTTTATTATTTTTTTTATTTTATTAAATCAAGCCAACTTTGTAAAGACTTGGTTCCTAAATACTGTTGGGAGACAGTAGGTGAGAGGGATATATTAGAATATTACAGACTTTATCCTTTGATGTCTGTCGGATGAGAGAGGCAAACATAGTAACAAATTAAAATGGCATTTGACAAATCTGATTAGAAAAAAAAATTTTCCATTTCAGGATCATGATTTTCCATTTTCAAGTAGGCTATGGTGATTTTCCATTTTCAAGTAGGCTATGGTGATTTTCCATTTTCAAGTAGGCTATGGTGATTTTCCATTTTCAAGTAGGCTATGGTGATTTTCCATTTTCACAGAAAATTATCCCCTCTACACTTATCAGAGTGTTAGAATGGGTATATTGAGATTTGAATATTTGAACCTTAGCATCATTTTGTTGGTATGCTGCTCTCTTACCCAATAATGATGATGATGATAA